CCTTTGATCCCAGTGACCAGCCTCTGCCCCGGCCCTGACTCTGTGACTCTCTCCTCAGTGGATGTGACTCTGGATCCAGACACGGCTCATCCCAGACTCATCCTGTCTGAGGATCGGAAACGTGTGAGATATGGAGACAAATGCCAGGATCTGCCCGACAACCCTGAGAGATTTGATTCTCGTCCCTGTGTCCTGGGCGCTGAGGTGTTCAGCAGCGGGAGGCATTACTGGGAGGTGGAGGTCAGAGGCAAGACAGGCTGGGACCTGGGGGTTTGCAGGGAATCTCTGAGCAGGAAGGGGAATGCCATGCCCACACCTAGGAATGGATACTGGGTCGTGTGGCTGTGGGATGGGGAATACAAGGCCATCACCTCCCCACCGACCTCCCTCCCTGTGAGTGTGAGGCCCACCCGGGTGGGGATTTTCCTGGACTGTGAGACAGGCGAGGTCTCGTTTTACAATGTGACTGACAGGTCCCATCTCTACACTTTCACTGTCACCTTCCGCAGGAAGCTCCGCCCTTATTTCTGTCCTGGTGTCAACACTGGTACAAACGCGGCTCCCCTGATAATCTGCCAGGTCCCAGTTGAGGCCGGAGGGAATCTCTGTCCCTGACAGTGACCCCGCGGCACAGACTGTCCCCTCCCAGCCCTGCTAATCTTCCCGCCCCCAGTGGTGGGCCCCAGTTACTGCAGTAACTGGATGTTTTGTGCTGACCGGACACTGCCAGTTTCCCTTTTCAACTGGAGGTTCCAATCAAAAACTGGACACCTGGCAACCCCCAGCCCTCACCTTTCCCCATCCTCTGCCCCAGAGGCAGCAGATGGTGGTGGATGGGGTCATTCAATCCTGTCAGAATTTTCTACCCCTGTGAAATCTCAATGTAAAATATGAAAGAAAAAAAATTATTCTAATTTAGAAAATATTATTGTAACAAGGTGTAAATACAAGAATATTTTAATTTACATTTCAACAGTATTTCAAAATCAAGCATCTAAACATATTTTTAGAAATGGAATTTACATTTATTTTTTGATTCTTCCATCAAATCTATATTGAAGTTTAACTTCTCTAAATAATGTCATTTGTATTTCAACTGTGGAATTTCAAGAAATCTAAAATGTTTATCTTCACAAAATAAACTATTAAATTGTCAGACTGGGCTGTTCAGTTACAATGTACATATGTCTTAAACATCACAACTACACACATGTGCAGCTTCTCTCTCTCTCTCCCCCTCTCTTTATTGTCTTGACTGGTTCTCTTTGGCAGGCAGGGGACATACACCGACCTCCTGCACTACATCTTTGAAAATTAATAGGTTAAAAATT